TTCTTAGTTACATACTAATGTGATATGAAAACAGCAATTACCAGTAGAGGGAATAAGATCATTGGGTTTGTAATTGGCACCAGGATATTTGGCTTCAATGACTGACTGGATTTTGGAACAACGCTGTAAACCTTCTGAAGCTGACTGAGGCAAGAGTTCAGAGGAGATTTGCCTACATAACACCGAAATAATTTTGTAAGGCCATCATTTTGTGGACTTCGAATAAAAGTTTAGTTAAGCCTGAGCTTAAAATAAAGTGATTTCATTACATTAGTGGTTGTGTATGTTGGACAATGTTGTTTGAGTTCGGAGCATTCTGCGTCTATAATAAGCCAATAAACACAATTTGCCTTTAAAATAATAGTGAGGAACCCGTGGCAATGAGTAATAAGATATAGTACAATTTGCCTAATAAACATCCATAAATGAGGCAGTAGCATATGCGAGTAGAGGTGTCAGACAGCAAGCGGGACTCCTTCCCGTTTACTAGCCTCCTGAATTGTATCGCCTCCGTTCGGCTCAGTCAATTCCGTATTGGGAGTTATGGTAACGACGGTACGGCGAGGTTTGACCTTAGAAGAGCTGAAATACAGTTTAGATGACGTAATAGGGGTGAACACGGATGAAGTGAGAGAAAAACGCACTCTCCTAAGGGAAAATCGGCTGCTAGAGATACCAGCATACCTCGATGTGGTCGCCTGAGGAGACTGAGCAGGAGCCGCTTTGCCTTCGTTGAGAGAGCGATTTGTCGACTGTGTACGATTGAGGCGAAAGCTACCGCCGGTACTCCTAAATGTGAAAACGTCTGTTCTGAATTCTTGTTCTTTTCAGGGATTGCGGGAAAAGTAAAATCGGACAATTAAAATATAAGCGACAAGTAAAAATCTTACAGCTTAAAGAATAGGCGGAAGATATTAAGCTTTATTCACCCACTTTGAAAGTTTCAAAGCTAAAGGGAAACTCGAGAAGGGACACATAATTATTATCCAATAAAAAGTTAATCATTTAGTCACGCCACGATCTGGTATAATTCCAAGGTGTGTCTTTAAATTGGTACACAGTAGGCTTCTCACACCTTTGATTAACTCAATAATTTCAAAAAAATTGAATTTTTTCCAACTGTAATGTGATAGAATGATCGATAGAAATTCGTGGCTGGTACTTTCAGATTTGTATGTGAGCGTAATAAACTAGAGAATTTTGACTTTCCCTTCAATGTCTATTTCTCAAGCTCACGTTGTCCATATGTCTTTTGTACACAATGAAACATGATTTTCAAACTTAAAAATCGACAGGGTTTTCAACATTGGCGTAACGTAACATCTACTTTCCATATATCTAATTTGCAAAAACATCTCAATCAATCAAATGATAATACTGATAATACGGAGATTTTTAAAAAATCA